ATCAAATTGCATTTTTTTGCCTCTTTTTTTTTAAAAAAAATATCTCAGCTTGCATTTTAAATGCACAGGGGGATTTAGCTATTTAAAGGAAACCTGTGGTGAATTCTTTTGTAATGCAAATAATCACCTTCTAATTTATCTGTTTAGTAAATTGAGCTTCTCATGTATCAGATTTTCTTAATATGGGGCCTGCTTGTAGAGAAGAGCTTTTACAACCCTCTCTCACCGATGGGGAAAAGCCACTCAGCTTGCAAACAAAATCAGTTATTGTGTTCAGTTGGCAAAGCCTTGCTCTGGTGTTTTGAGCATAATCTCATATCCCCTTATCATTAAATAATAGAACCTCAGAACAGGAAGCTGAAGACACCTTAGAGATTATATGGTCCATCTCACTCATTTCACAGATGAGGAAATGGAAGCACACAGAGGTGAAGTGACGTGCTCAGTGTCACCAGCCAGCAACTGTCAGACAAGGATCCAATTCCAGGCCTCTGATGCCAGGGGCGTCTCTGTCTAGCCCATCCTCATTCTGTCCCGACCAAGATTCCAGGGCTGTGCATACCTGTGGTGGCATAGGAGATGATAAACAAATATGATGCATTTTCTAAAACAACCAAAAAGAGCTGCAAACGTGGGCTGTTTCAAGAGAAACTGCCGGTTTTGCAATTTTGTGAATTGATGACAATATTCAGCTTAACCTATTTGTTAAAGAGCTGAATGGAATACAGCAGAGGGAGGCTGTTTGGCCTTTTTCTGAGAAAACGATTACAATTCTTGGCTATTGCTATTCCTGTAAGGATTTTACCATACCGTGTCTTAAAAGCACTTGCCAAGTTGCTGGAGGAAGACCGGGTGACAGACCCAGATAGATCCCACATGGCTTGGTGGGTTTGTTCTCACTGGTGTCAGGCTGTCTGGGAAACCGGATTTGAAGCAGAGGGGTTTGGACAAACTACATTTGATATTCTCAACTCGTTGAAACATTCAGAAATCACCCTGCCCTGGAAATGCCCCCAGATTGTCCCCTCCTAATTAGTTCATTATTTTTCTTAAAGAGCTAACGCTCAAAGATATGCACATTTCTGAAAGATTTCAGTGGAGGGGCAGGGCCTTCCCCCTTGCTTGTGCTGTCCCAGTCAGTCTCTGCAGAGACTGGGGGCTTTCTCAAAGGGCAGGACCCACCTGGAGGTCGTGAGGACTTTGACCGTGGTGCCATTTACTAGCTGAGGGCTTTGGGCCATGCTCAACCTCTTTGAGCCCTTTTTTTTTTCTCATTTACAAGACCTAATGATTGGTGTATGAAAATTCAGTGAGATACTCTGTTAGGTGCTTGAGACTTTGGTTCAGAGAAGGTACCTAGAAAGTAAAAAGCAGCAGAATTCAGGGCCCTGGCCCTTGAGGAACTGTCCATATTCCTGGCCTTTCAGGAAATAGCTAGAGCCTGTGAGGGAGCCACAGACTCATGTCCCAGCTGGGGGGACCTGCTCCCCAGCAGACCCGGGCCACGGAGGTGGGTAATGGAAGTGCTAATGATCTACAAGGTAGCCATTTACCATGTACTTAGGACCAGCTGGGAGGGAATGAATGAACCGGAAGGGCTGCGCGCACGAGCACTGAATGGTTAAGCCTCCTGGAAGCCCTCTGCCTGAGGGCTCAGAAATAGTGGAAGGTGTCTTCTCCCCTCAGAGGTCGCTTTCAGGAGTGTGGACCTCACGCCTCCTTGAGGAAGTCCATCATCTCAGGTGAGGTTTCTATCAAAGCCCAGAGGAAGGTCAGTTTGAGAGAAAAACTGATTTTAAATCAAGCACAGAACATGAAGTGGAGCTGTCTGGCTCGATAGCACAAAAAGGTCATTTTGTTAAAATTCATTGACGCCGACTAGGATGAATTCAGACTAAAGCTCACAAGAATTGCCCAAGAGCAAGATTAGGCTCTGCAAGATTATGCGATGCCACCAGATTTATGTAGTTTTCTACAAACTTTCAAATATATGTTTCCTTAGAATTTTAAAGGGGAACTAAGCCTTCCAGTCATCAAGAGTCTGATTTTTATGACAGTGTATCAGATTTTGAAATAACTGCTGTTATTTCAACATTTTGTAAGTAGCTCTGATTTTACTTTTAAAGTGACAAAAAAATTTCAGTAACAATCTCACCAACTGGACAAATATGGAAAAAGTTGCTCTGCTTTAGTGGAAAATGAGTTGCAGACTAGATTAGCAACGATAGCTCCTGTTTACTGAGCACTTACCCTGTGCCAGCTACCGCGCTTTCCGTGTGTGCCACGTGGCAGGCTCTGGCACCCCTTTACAGACAAGAAAACCGAGCTTCAGAGAGGTTATGTGCCTTTAATTCTGTGTTGCAAAGGAGGAAATTTAAGCAAAAATCCAAGTAAACTGCCCAGTAAATACCAACCAAAATGGCACCTCTTGTTTTCCATTTAAGTGCATTCATCCACTAAACAAAACTAACTCCTGTCTCTGTTATCTATTCCCCAATCTTTCCCTAACTTAAAGCTCTAAACAGACCTGTGAGATGCTAAAGAGACTAAAAATTATTGCAGACACGAATACCTTTAAAAGAAACTAAATTTTACTACCTCCAGGGCTGTACAACAAGTGGAACTAGGTTAATGCCACATGAGTAGCATGGGTAAGGATGATTTGTAATTAACAGACTGAGTTTATGGTCGTCTATAATTGAAAACCATTTATTCTCTGAAGTGTTTTAAGTACTTGGGAGGTGGCTTGAAGAAGGGCGTGTCCCCTTCCTTTTCCCCTTCATCATTTCTCCTTCGAATATCCATTCATTCTGTGCTCTGCCAGAAAGGATACGCTCAGGGTCAGCCCAGCCCTGTGGACTTGGTCACAAGCCCTGAATTAGTCATCAGAGTTAATGAGACTTTACTGTCTTCTAACTGGTCTTCCTCGTGAAACTGTAAAGCACAATCCTCCTTCTCTTAATGGGTGGTTGGTGTAATCCATGGTCCATCACTTAAATGGTTTCATACAGAAAGTCAAGTTAACTTTCTAAGTGTTTCCTTCTGTGGAATGCCTGAGGTCAGGCTGTTGCCAAATCGCAGATTTTCTGAGGGAGAATCAGCTGCTAAGAGAATCACGTGTGACGGAATGTTAGTCAAGTCGTGAGAAAAATCAGAAAAGGACGAAGTATTTTGGGGCCGAATATGGGAAATCCAGGGCTTAGCATGTGCCAGGGGGCAGGAAATGCTTGTCATAGGCAGATGAGAACTGTCCCAGCAGACTGGGCCATGGACTATATTTCTGAGCGTGCTCCAGGTGTATACTCAGAAATCCCAAGGCAGTGGGCTACAGCAAGCCCCCTTTCCTCATCTAAAAGTGGAAAAAGTGCAGCTTTCTCTGAAGGCTTTTGGATATATGTTCAGTTGGCCTCTAGAGAGGCACCATCCTTTCCTTTGGGTTGGGGAGGAATGAAAATTTTATGAACTAGAAAGTGAACAAGTGAATGGAAAGCACAACCAGATGTTGGTTGGCTATTAGGGTAGTGGAGAGTTGTCCAAATTTCAGGTTTCAAACCCATATGTATAAATAGGTGAGCAATGAACATTAGATTAACTATCCTACCAAAATACGTTGGTGCTGTTTATTCTCTTAACTGCATGTGCATTTCAAACATCAGATTCCCTTATGTGAAGTCCGTTCTTGTTTTCAGTTAAACCTCCACAAAAGTCCTTTGAAAGAATCTCATGGCATTCTTTAACAGTGAAGGTCCTAGAATAAAATTTTCCTATAGATTTGCTTGTAGATGTTTCCACTCTAGGTTATTTCTAGTCTTGATGAAATAACTGTTTTCCCCACTGAATCAGACAAAATTAAGAAGCTCTTCAATAGACCTCCAGCTCTGATTTGCTCTAGTGATTCTAGGATCAAGAAGTGTTTGCTTCAGAACTGTAAGCATACCTACTGCTTCCACTCCGACAAATTAATAGGAAACTCTGACAATGGTAATAGGAGTATTTTCACACATAACCCACCCTATGTGTTTAATTTTCAAGTCATTTTTTTGTTATCAGAGAACAATAAGATAATTTACACAAAATAGCTGACATTCTACGTTTAATCTTTTCACAAGCTCTAAAACTTACACATTTTGGGCTCCTTGGGTGGATTCCTTTCTCTCTCTCTCTTTTTTTTTTTTTTTTTTGTGATTGAATAATCACTTTTTCCCACTGGGAAATCTGAGGCACCAAAAAATGTCATTAATAGATGACTGGCTTGTTGAATACATCACAGAAAATAGCCTTTCATTCTGATTTTGTGGACGAAATTTAAATGCTAAATTCAGACAGCTGTAAAAAGTAAAAACAGATTTGAAAAGAACTAATACCATCAATCTCAGGATTTTTACCTTCACAGAAATTGGATTTATTGAAATGAAATGGTACATAAAAATGCTTTCTGATTTGGGAGAATCAACCTAGTTTCTGATACGTTTCTGTTTCCCTTGCTCCACAAGTGTCATCAATCTCTCTGTTTAGATGCAGTGCAGCCAGGTGTTCAGAATCATAAGGGGACAAAAAGAATTAGTTTCTTACTGAATAGGGAAAATTAAACAATTAAAAAAAGAGGTCGGTGCAAACAGGGCTTAAAATATGAAAAATGTAGACCCTTTGAACTGAACCCTTTCTTTTTTTCCTTCCGGCCTCCCAGGAATAATTCTGCTACACGGCTGACTTCAAGGATGTGAATTGGTGACCTCATCCCAACATCAGAACCTCAGCTGTTACTCTAATTTTTGCATCATTCCAGGCAAGTTGACTTTATATGGGAATAAAATTGAACCTTGGGGTCTGATGGAAATTCACTGTGACATTCAAATCAAGAACACCTGCTGAAACCCACAGAGCCTTTTCCCCATGGGCCCTGATGGTAGCCTCCAAAAGCTACAGCCTCAGGTGGTGCCCCTTCTTCTGTGGCAAGAATAAACGTTGGGTCTTGGATTGCAACACCACCTGTGGAGAAAATGGTATTCGAGGGAAAGCGATCAGCCTCTTGTCCTTGTTTTTTCCTCCTGACTGCCAAGTTCTACTGGATCCTCACGATGATGCAAAGAACTCACAGCCAAGAGTATGCCCATTCCATACGAGTGGACGGGGACATCATTTTGGGAGGTCTCTTTCCTGTCCACGCAAAGGGAGAGAGAGGGGTGCCTTGTGGGGAGCTGAAGAAGGAAAAAGGGATCCACAGATTGGAGGCCATGCTTTATGCAATTGACCAGATTAATAAGGACCCTGATCTCCTCTCCAATATCACTCTGGGTGTCCGGATCCTCGACACCTGCTCCAGGGACACCTACGCTTTGGAGCAGTCACTAACGTTCGTGCAGGCTTTGATAGAGAAAGATGCTTCTGACGTGAAGTGTGCTAATGGAGATCCACCCATTTTCACCAAGCCCGACAAGATTTCTGGCGTCATAGGTGCTGCTGCAAGCTCCGTGTCCATCATGGTGGCTAACATTTTAAGACTTTTTAAGGTAGGTAAAGGCACTAGGCAATTCTGACCATTGTGGAAAGACAGTAAATTGTCCTGACTCCAACTGCAGGTTTAAGAGGAAAGTGAATGTGGTGAAGATGCTCGTAGACCCTCTCAGGGCCACAGTTTCCTCACAGAGAGGGGTTTGTGTCTAGGTTTCTACAAGTGTTGATTTAGTTCCATTTTTAAAAAGAATGGATTGGGTTAACTGTGACTTTTTTTTTTCTGAACAAACAGAAAGGTGATAATTTCTGTGACATGTTGGGTCCTCAGTATCTTGGGATATGCTGTTTATTGAGGCTTATTTTAAAGCAAAGCAAGTGTTTTTCGAGGGTCTGATGAACTCTTAGCTCATTTATCAGATCAAACATTTCTATAGTATTTGAGATTTAAGATAATTTACTTGGTGAAATTTCTTTAACGTGGGATGCTGTGTTATGACAAAAGTTCCCGTGTGGAGAAATAGTATTTATTACTAATGGGTAGATGGGAGTGACACTCTGGGCTAGAAGATGGCCATAAAGTTGTCAGGTTTGTTATAGCTACAATAGAGCAGAACCTCATTAATTCAGAGTGCTCTGATGCAGACTTAGAATAATTAAATGTAATTCTTATTGAGTTAAAAGTTCAGATTTAGCAGGATAATTCGAGACTTTTTGGTTTAGGTTGGATGATCTATTATCTATAGATTACATTTTGAATAAAATTGGCAAAATAAAACAACACATGGAACAATATTTTGAAAGCATAAAGTCCCATAAACATAAAGTTATTGTAATTCATCTTTCATTAACTTTCTCATTTTATTTATTAACATCCGTTGTGTAGTCCTTTGTAATAGACATAATTTTACAAATTGAAAATGCTTTTCACTCCGATGTTTTACTCAGTGGGACATGACTTTTCCAGCTTACTCTGAATTAGTGAGTCTTCGTTTAATATTGTGAGAAGCTGTTTCTGTGCAAATTAGATTTAAAAATACTAAAAGAATATGGAGAAGTTGGACAGATGACAGATATAGTGACAACAATGAACAAAGTGATGGAAAACTTACTTCAGAAAATAGAAGGGTTCGAATCAAAAGCTTTCCGCTTTGGAAGCTGTCTTGGGGGACCATCTAGTCTGGTTCACGTCTGTAACATCCCCCCAGCTTCTGTATGAGTTCCCTAAGTTTGGAGGAGAGAATGGTAAGAGGCCCCTTAATGACTATTTTCAGATGGATGAAATTTTCTCAGATGAGGATGCTGCTGAGCAGAAGCTCTCTGTGTCTAAGGAGTGCTGAGGAGTCACACACAGGCGTCAGGGAATGCCTGAGATATCTGAGCCAGATGTTAGGAAGAGCCCCTTGGCAAGGAGGAGGACACAAGATTAAAATAGGCAGCCAAGGGTGCTCTAATTGTCCATCTCTGGAAACTTTCAAGGGAAACTGCAAAGCTGTTAGTGATTTCTCTTGGGCTAATTGACCCCTTGCCTGGAGGCAAGATTCAAAACCAGAAGCTCCAGGTTTACCCCAACATCCTGGGATCTTGGATTTCTCCCAGCATCCTGATTCTGAGCCGCATGGCATTTTCGGCTCTGGGGTCACGTCCAGCTCCAGCCAGTTTCCCAGTTCTCTTCTCCTCTCTGACTTGATCTCCCTCCCCTGATGCTCCAAAGCATCTCTTTTCTGTTCTTAACTCATCAACACCCACTTTTAGGGAAGGGGAAACTTTCATGAGGATCATCTCCCTCCTGTTACTCTCCCCTTATAAACTAATTCTGGTTCCCATCAATCCCATCGTAATTCCCGTGAATCCTGTCTCTTTCCTGGAGTCTGGTGCCAAAAGTGGGCAAGGATTTGAGGAGCAGGGTGGAGGCGATAATTGCTCAGTTGAGGTTTTCGAAACTTGTTTACGTTAATTTTGCTACAGAATCAGCTTATCTGTAAAATGGGGATGTTAACACTGTGTTAGGTTGTTGGATGATTTAATGAGATAATGCAGGTGAAGGATTCCACCAGGACCTGACCGTGTCCTTCGTCTCCTTGGGCTGCCCAAGGGGACATCGGGCCAACTGAAGGGTAGGTTTTGTTTTTATGCATTCTAGACCTGGCTTCTCTTTGCTTTGTTCTTCTCTCACTGACGGGCCAATTCTTGGGTAACTCTGGAGGGACCTTATCGATCACGTGGGAGAATTACAATACCATTGACTCTGGGCAGAGTCCAGTGCTGTAGGTCAATTCTTGTGACTGTGGTCTGCACATGAAGGGGCTGCCACCCTTTACCAAAGCACAGGGACTGGGTGACTTTTAGCCAGGAGCAGATGTTGGTTATGGTAGATGTCATGACTAAGACCGGTATGCTGGCTCGGAATGAGCATTGAATATATGGAAGCAGATATATTTATTAACCAAATAAGCGGGGCTTGAAAAATCTGTCTTTTACAAGTAAGTGAGAAGATGTAAGTGGTCAGCCCATCTTCCAGCTGAACCTGGAACCACATGACTGTGAATTGATAATTACAACTTAATCGTTGTTGTGCTACTTTAGTTTACTTTGACGATTCATATGAGACCTCCAGCCAGCACTCCACACTGATATTAATTATGAAATGGTGATGGTCACTCTTGGAATAGAAAATGTTTCACTTTATGTGTGAATATATATTCTGTTTAAACACATATGCTAGGACTGACATGAAATATTAGAATAGTTATCAAAGGAATGATTAGCAAATTAATGCTTTGGGGATTCGCTTACAGTTCCATTTTGAAAGATAATAATTTGATTAAACAAATGCTATGACCTGAATAAAATTAAACATTTAGGACAGTATTATGGCGCTTGGGCCCCTCCAGGACAGCATATGACCCATAGTATCTAAAACGATGCCTGGATATCAGTATAGTGCCACTTATTCCTGGATTAATGGAGTCACAGAAGGTCGAGCATCTTGGTTTGGAAAAACACAATTAACCTTGACCATGAGGGATGTAAACAGGGTCTTGATTAATGAATTTACTTATTGTCCTGCTCAACAATAAGCATTAATTGGGGTTTTTAGAATGTAGCTGGAATCTGTTTAAAATTGTATAGAAAATATTTGGGCTGAAATCAGAAGTAATCTCCAAAGGTCCCAGTTCTCTTTTTCTGGACAGTCCTGGTAAAGCCATGTGTTATCTGCCTGGGCTACATTGTGAAGGAGACAGTGTCCCCCAGGCATGCCCATCTTCCTCTTGCTTCAGTCTGGCCCTCCTGTGGCAGCCTCTCCTGGCCTCGTATCGCTCTCCATTCTCCTAATCGAAGCCTCGTTTCAGGAAAGGAGCTATGCATGTGTTATCAGTCATCTGCATATAACATGTCTGTGTTTAAGTCAGAGGAGGATTCTGTTTTCCGCGGGATCGCTAGTTGTGGTTCAATGAAATGATTTGTCTTTGTCAAGGGGATTCAGGCATTGGGGGGAGGTTCATTTAGCCCCCCAGATCCTGCACCTTGTCGGGGTGAGGGGCAACTCGTCTGCTGTGGTGTATAGCTGGCCCTGCTTTTCTCTAGAGGGAAGGAATGTTGCCCTATCTTTGTTTCTCTTCCTAACAAAGCTCAGGGGCAAATGGTAAAATCAGCCCTTTAACTTCAGCGGAGAATTGGGCAGGGGGTGGAGCCAGACTTCATTGGGGGTGGGGGTGGGGCGGAAGCTGGCCTGTGGCCTCGCCCCTTGGGGCACTGAATGCCATACTAAACCAGTGATTGTCAACCCTGAGTGTGGGCGAGGCTTACACCCTCTCTCCTCATGCCCCGGGGTGTGTGTGTAGGCTATCAAAACTACCTCAGAGGGCTTCCCTGGTGGCGCAGTGGTTGAGAGTCCGCCTGCCGATGCAGGGGACACGGGTTCGTGCCCCGGTCTGGGAAGATCCCACATGCCGCGGAGCGGCTGGGCCCGTGAGCCATGGCTGCTGAGCCTGCGCGTCCGGAGCCTGTGCTCCGCAACGGGAGAGGGCACAACAGGGAGAGGCCCGCGGTTACGCAAAAAAAAAAAAAAAAAAAAAAAACTACCTCAGAGACTTTTCATATGACGGACACAGTGAGTGAGTGTGTGTCTCCCAACCCCCTCCCTAGAACCATTTTTACTGATTGAAGTGTGTCTCATATTTGTCAGGTGTGTTGGGAGTGAAAACAAGTTTGAGTCACAGAACAAGACTTCAATGATCTGAACTTTTTAGAAGCACTACACACAGCCTTGACACACACACACACACACACACGTACACACACACGTGTCATATATGGGTTAACATGGCGGCAGAGTGGTCACCTAGGTGACGGTTTAATCCCTATACCAAGTTAATGGTTTTAGATAACAGTAGGATCGATTAGGATAATGTGACCCATAACTGCAGAGTAGCAAACCCAGAGAACCCAGAACTGCTCCAACCTACATGAAGGTTAATATGCCATTTCAGTGGCTCCTGTGCTGCAGAGAGACCAAAGAAAAGAGGGGTCCAGCTCTCAGATGGAGACTGCTTAGTTTGAAAAGAATTAAAAAATAATGAGAGGGCCTTTTGGAAATGTTGACTGGGAAGCCCATAATTTAAATTTGTTTTATAAAGCAGTTTCGAGGAATTTGCATATGTTTTATAAAGAGCTCGGATTTTTTCCCCTTTCTAGAACATTTCCACCCCTCTTTTAAATTAGAGCAAATCTGTTCCTCAAAACACTAATCATATGTCTTACTTTGAGCAAAGATTGAACATTATAAGTTAAAAATAGCACATTGATAGTAGGAGGTAACACATTGATGTCCACGTAGATGTATTGGGGTTAGAAAAGGACAGTGTCAGATATAATTTCTCTTTCTCATGTTTTTCTGGTGAACTTTACCTAGAGAATTAATTTTCAACTCTTGAAGGTTGGGGGTTAGATAGTCTGTAGTGTATACTTCCCAAAGCAATCAAATAGAAATCCACGTGTGGATTATTCTGTAATTATCTAGAATTACTTCTAGATAATTTCTCACCATGCGGAAGTGTCCTGGTTATAAGTGGCTAAAACTGAC